AAATCCTTAGAGTGTGAAGATAGTGGGTAATCTTAAGACTGGCTGCACTTTGGGCAAATGTTTTCCCTGAGCTAAATGGAGGAGGTTCTCACCAACTCACAGGTTTAGTACACATCGTAACTGAATGAATGAGAGTGCAGTTATCACACAAAGGAAACTTTATTTGCAGCAAATAAGTATAACTTCCAAAGCCCTTGCTCCCCAAGCAAGGGTGAATGGGTTCCTTTTATTTAGGGTTAAGATGAATATTTAGAAAGGAGAGCCTTGTCATTGTATGTAGAGGCAGGCATAAAGTGAAGTTTGCACCTTAAGGACACATGCCTATAAATACATTGTATCGTCATGTAAATGAGGCTTGTGCTCTTCCTGGGGTGGGGATTTTAGTATTACAATGAGGTAAGGGTAGTGTCAGTCACTTCATGGGTCACTCCATGGGTCACTCCATGGTCCATCTGCTCAGGTGTGCGTCAGGAGTTAAGCTCAAACTGGTCTGAGTGGTCTGGGCTGCTGGAGCTCTTCATCTGGGCAGTTGTTATTGCTCAAGGTGTAGTTTCAGTTTCCTTCACAGGAGGCTAGTCAGGTCTTTTGCCAGAGTAAGAGATAAGGTGGAAAAAGAGCTTAAGGGAAAATGTGGGACAAAGGTCAGTGGGTACAAGCAGGTGAGCAGTAAAGGTCAGGTCTTGGGGTCTGGTTGGTGACAGTATCAGTTTTTGTCTTGGGGAGGGCAGGAGTTGAACCAGATAGATGGGCTTTTGTTGCTTAACAATTATTATCGTTCACACTATTCCTTTTTTTAAAAGATTTTATTTATTTATTTGAGAGACAGAGTGAGTGAGAGAGAGAGAGCACACACGAGGAGGGGCAGAGGGAGAGGGAGAAGCAGGCTCCCTTGCTGAGCAGGGAGCCCGATGTGGGGCTCAGTCTCAGGACACTGGGATCATGAGCTGAGCAGAAGGCAGACGCTTAACCGACTGAGCCACCCAGGCGCCCTGGAATATGCTACTCTTTAAAAAAGAAAAACCAACAAACATTACTGCATAGAAGTTGCCAAGATATCTCTCATAACATCCTACTTATGTAGGAAAGATGTTAGGGTTCGAAGCCGATGGCCAAGAAAGAAGGTGGTTTTATGAAAGCATGGGGCCAGGACTTGTGGGCTGAAAGAGCTGCACTGGGGTCATGAGGAGTGGCCCATTATATACTTTCAGGTTGGGAGGGTGATAGCGAAAGTCTCTATGGAATTATGGAAGCAAGGTTTCCATGACCTTGAGGGGGCTAGCTATTGTTGGGGAAAGGTCATTTATTACTGTCTAGTAAAACCTTAGTCATGAGACCTTTCAGATGTATATCAGTGTGTCATATGCTTGGCGGATGATTGCCAACCTGTATCTTGGGGGGTAGAGATAAAGGAAGTTTCCAAGGGAATTTTTTTTTTTGGGGGGGGCGCATGTGTTTATTTAGCAAGCAAGGAGGGGTTCCATCAGAAGGGCAGCCTGGGAAGCAGCTGGTGGGCTGTGTGGTGAGAAGGGTCTCCGGGCTCTCTCCTGGTGTCCGGGTCGGTGGAACAGCTGGGCGGTGCCCTGGGCAGAGGTCAGCGTGAGGGTGATGGGGTGGAGAGAGACGGGGGACACCGCATACTCATTCACTTATCATCGATGCACTGGTCAGTGGGGACAGGGAAGATGATGTGGTCATTGGTGAGGCCCAGGGATTTGGCAAAGCCGGTGAAGTATTCCTTCAGAGCAGTGGGCAGCTGCTTGGTCCTCCCATAGAGGGTGATCTTGAAGTACTCCTGGTTTTTGTAAACTTTCTTGAAGAACACCATGGCAAACTGGTTGTAGTTGGTGGTCATCACCTGCACGGTGTAGCTCTGCACTCCGATGTAACGCTTAATGTTGCCCAGGGTGAACTGGCCAGGCAGGGAACTTGGGACAAAAGTTCTGATCCAGTGGTCGCAGCGCTGGTTCCTGATCAGGGTGGAGGTGACGTTGTAGCTGCGGTTGTCTTTCAGTTGGTAGGTGGTGGTGTACATCTTCAACTGGGCTCGTTTTTCTGTATTAATTGAATTCTCCAAGGGAATTTTTATATGTTAAAGTAACTTACAGGATCCTGGGGGTCGGGCTAAGTTTGCCTTCTGCTCTATTGACATTGAGTGAGGCAGCCAAGTTTCTAGAGGAATGTCACTCTGCCTGTTTCAGGGACTTGTCAGTGGGCTATAGGTAGTAAGAAAATTTAATTTTTCTTTTGCCTTTGTTTCCCACATCACTCTTAGTTCTGTGGATGACAGCTGGGATTTGTAACACCTGGTGCCTACTGCTATGTCATTTGTTAAGAAATTTCTTTCCTGGAAGGATTAGACGAGTCACTACTTTGCATATCCATAATGAAATAGCTCATACCCTACTCTGTCTTGCTGAATGCTTGAATAGTAGGATGTATGTACAAAGATGACACACTACCTATCTTTCTTCCACCAGGGAGAACAAGGTAGCACAGCGTCCTTTTTAATGACTGTGAGAAGTAGAAAAATTACTTTCTCCCTAAGACGAGTTGGGTGAATCAAGCCAAGGTTTAAAATATCCTTGGTGAATTTTCCTCATTATGCAAACTGTTTTAAAGCAAAATTAAAGAACAATCTATTCATCATTACTAATACTTAAAAATTATACCCTTACTTCCCGGATTCTCCATAGATAGACATTTAACTTTCAGAGAGGTGGGGCAGAGAGAATCCCTGCCTTTTAATGCTCTCTTGCATGTTTATAAGTGATGCTTTCCTCATTTTTTACGATAATCTCTCTAGCCTGTACTAAGGACTGTTTTTGTTCTTAAACTATTGAGTTTTTTTTAAATATAAAATCATTACCTTTTTTTTTTTTTTAAAGATTTTATTCATTTACTTGACAGATAGAGACACAGCGAGAGAGGGAACACAAGCAGGGGGAGTGGGAGATGAGAAGCAGGCCTCCCGCGGAGCAGGGAGCTTGATGTGGGGCTTGATCCCAGGACCCTGGGTCCATGACCTGAGCCAAAGGCAGACGCTTAACGACTGAGCCACCCAGGCACCGCTATATAAAATCATTACTTTAAATTCAGTAAAACAGCTAACAAGGAGAGTTTTTAAAAAATAAATTTGAAAAGGTGATCATAGAAAGAATACATGCTAATTGTAGAATATGGAAAATATACCAAAAAAAGAACATAAAAATCTATAAGCATACCACCCAGAGGTAACACCTATTAATATTTTATATCATAATTTCAGTCTTTTTTCTATGCATATATCTGTACATTTTAACCAAAGATGAAGTCATAAAGTCCATTGGTTTTATAAATTTATTTTTCCCTATTCTTTTTTGGTATGACATGTAAAATATGTCACTAAATATTCTTTTTCTTTAAGATTCTATTTATTTATTTGACAGAGGGAGAGAGAGATCACATGCAGGGGGAGTGACAGAGGGAGAGGGAGAAGTAGGCTCCCAGATGAGCAGGGAGCCCAATGAGGGACTCGATCCCAGGACTCTGGGATCATGACCTGAGCCACAGGCACACCTGTGCTACCCAGGTGCCCCACTAAATATTCTTCTAAAACATTATTATATCTGGGGTGCCTGGGTGGCTCAGCGTTAGGCGTCTGCCTTCGGCTCGGGTCATGATCCTGGGGTCCTGGGATCGAGCCCGGCATCGGGCTTCCTGCTCGGCGGGAAGCCTGCTTCTCCCTCTCCCACTCCCCCTGCTTGTGTTCCCTCTCTCGCTATGTATCTCTCTGTCAAATAAATAAATAAAATCTTTAAAAAAAAATAAAACATTATATCTAAGACATTCTTATATTTATACATATATAAAATATGCATAGTATTCTATCATAGGGTTGGGTCATAATATATGTAAATATACCAAATCATTTTTAATTTTTATATTATGAATTCTAATGATGAAGCTCATTTTTTTTTTAAGATTTATTTATTTATTTGACAGAGAGAGAGAGCACAAGCAGAGGGGTTGGCAGGCAGAAGGAGAGGGAGAAGCAGACTCCCCACTGAGCGGGGAGACCAATGTGAGGCTCAATCCCAGGACTCCAGGACTATGACCTGAGCCAAAGGCAGACTCTAAACTGACTGAGCCACCCAGGAGCCCCAGTGAAGCTTATTCTTAATAACTTTCTATTTTAATTAATTAATTAATTTATTTAAAGATTTTATTTATTTGAGAGAGAGAGAGAGAATGAGCAGGGGGAGGGGCAGAGGCAGAGGGGGAAGCAGACTCCTCACTGAGCAGGGAGCCCAATGCAAGGCTCAATCCCAGGACCCTAGGATCATGACCTGAGCCAAAGGCAGTTGCTTAACTGAATGAGCCACCCAGGTGCCCCTTAATAACTTTTTACACATGTCCATGAATAGTTCTTTAGGATATAGCCCCAGTGATGTGGGAAACAAAAGCAAAAGAAATGTAGCTTAAATTGAAATCTCCTTATAGTTCGCAGCCCACTGACAGATACCTGATGCATGCAGAGCATGACCTTCCTCAAGGAACTTGTGGCTGCCTTTAGTGCCTTAATGTTTAAAAGTAACTCTATCTTGGCAGCAGCTGGCCCCTCAAGGTCCTGAAAGTCTTGCTTCCAGATTCCTTGGAGACTTGCGCTATCTCTAATCCCCACCAATTGAAAAGTATACAATCAGTCACTCCTTACAATCCCAGTACAGCTCTTTCTGGCCACAGGTCCTGTCCCATGAGTAGGGAAGCGGGTAAGGTATAGACAGGAGAGATAGGAGGCCCCTGACTCTACACTAGGCTCCGAAACTATTCCTGGCAGGTGGAGATGCTGAGACAGAGCTGAACAAGAGATAAGGGAACAAACCAAGACAGCACAAGAATCTCAAGGCCACAAGCTTCCCAGTCAGTTCTCAAAAAAAGCCTGCCCCTAAGAGCCCTCAGTGGCCACCCATTTGGGACCCCTCTCACTCTAGAGAGCTTTTTCCTTTCCTTTCTTCTCTTACCTTCACTTAATAAACTTTCACTTCACTTCACCCTTTTGTGTCCGTGAGATTCATTCTTCGACTCCGTGAGACAAGAACCCTGCAATCCTGCAACACGAGGACAGAATTGCTCAATCAAACAGTACATAAATTTTTAGGACTTTTCATATTTCCCCTAAAATTTCCCTTGTTAAAACTTATGTAATTTATGCACTTCAAAGTATTTTAATCCTTATTTTTTACTTTCTTATACATAGAACTTTAAATTTGTTTGCCCTACTCTATAGATAATACCTGTCATGCTTAATAATGTTTTTCAATATCCAATTGACTACTTGATCCATTAGCATTCAGTTAGTATAGAGTTTTCCAATAGAAGTCTCCTCCATATACTAGATGATCATTTAATCTGAGAGCCATTTCCAACATTACATGAAGATGAAAAGTAAATTTAAAAACTTATCCATGAATTGCTTCAAAATATATCCAGGAAAATACTTTTTTGTTTTTTTCCACTAACTACCATATCATTGGAATATAAGTAAGAGATATAAAAATGGCAGTTTTGGGGGCACCTGGGTGGCTCAGTCAGTTAAGCAACTGCCTTCGCTTCAGGTCATGATCCCAGGGTCCTGGGATGGAGTCCCGCATCAGGCTCCCCGCTCAATGGAGAGACTGCTTCTGTCTTTCCCTCTGCTGCTCCCCCTGCTTGTACTCTCTCTTTCTCTGTCAAATAAATAATTAAATCTTTAAAAAATGGCAATTTTTGAACAGAAGTGTATCTTTACAGTGTAATATAAACATTTGGAAATTATTCCTAAAAATCATATAGACTATGCAACTATCATAGAAATTAAAAATATCTAGATAAATTCATAGATGACTCAACAATGATTGACTCTTAAATTTGAGATTAAGTATATACAATTATTTCATATAGCAACACTTTCCCATGAACTACATTCATCATAAATATTAGGTGGCCTAGTAATCTGATACCAAATGAAATTTATTATATTCTATTGTCCTTACATTCACTTATTCAACAAATATTGAGTGCCTATATGTGCCAGATTTTAAAGATTTTTAGTCTTTTTTTTCTATAAACAATCTTCCATTAGCAATTTCATATTCTAGAATTTCATATTCAAGAGTTTGGAATTTCATGATGCTTAAATTACAAAAGAATATCAAGAGTACTAAACCTTTGATATTTGTGGAGACATATATGATTGGTGAATGATTCTGGAGTCCTAGAAATGGCAATGGCTGGAGCTGGAGATTTTCTCTCTCTACAGTGGGGATACTACATCCAAACTCATCTTCCAGATATCGACCAGCTAGTGTCGTCAGCACTCCTCAAAACTGCTGGTAATTAAGCTCAGGCTGCACAAGCAGGCTGTTTGTCCCCACACCACTTTCAGGCTCACCTGCCTAAAGGGAGAGCAACAGAGGGTTGGGGGTGCTGGGCTAGAGGATACGACAAAGTAATTACAAGCATTTTGTTTTTCATTGCTTGCAGGTACATTTCCTTGAATGCACCTTGAAGAAATAACCTTTATTTATACATAAAATCCCACTCTCCTGTGGTAAGGCATTGTAGTGTTTTAATAACCTTCTATCTGTCATTGAATGTCTTCTGCTACATTATTATAGTGTCTCTGGCTAAAGTTGTAGTTTCTCGTTAATGTTACCACTGTGGTTAACCACGAAATAAAAGAATCTTTATATATTGTATATAACAATAATACGTTGGTTAAACTATTAGTTGTTTATTGAAAGCATTACAAATCGTGTAGACTTCTATCATAGTATATCATAATATATTGGAATAAATATGAACAGGAATGAAATCATTTGTCTGTGTGTTCTCAGCATCTACCAGACTTGTAGCACATAAGAGATGCCCAATAAATGATTGTTGAATCAATGAGCTAAATTTTAAAAAATTTTAAATTATGATCATTTCCTAAGAATGTAAATGATTTGAAATATCTTGATTTTTGAAAAACCTCTGGATTAAAATACAGATCAAGATTTTCATATATATATTTATATATAAATATATATTATATATGTACTTATTTTATATAACATGATATATTATTATATAAAATAATATATTTTATTTATTTATTTATTCAAAGTAGGCTCCATGCCCAGTGTGGAGCCCAATGCAGAGCTTGAACTCACAACCCTGAAATCAAGACCTGAGCTAAGATCAAAAGTTGGATGCTTAACTGACTGAGCCACCCAGGCACCCCAAGACTTTAAGATATTTTAAGGAGAACTGTCCACATCTACAATATAAGGAGTTTGCCTGGATGGCCTCTCTTTCATCATCTATGAAAATATGTAATTCTACCATTTTATGACTCATTGGACTACAAATGCCCAAATCTTCAAAACTAGTTATTTTTCATGTTTAAATAGTTTCCTTTAAGAAAAACATAAAAAAAAAGACCCCAACAAACCCGGGATAGTTAGGCCAGACCTATATTGTCAATGGAAACAGAACTGAGTAGATTCAGACAGCAGAGCTGTGTGCCTAGTCTAAACAATCCTCACTCAAGATGACAGAATGCAGGCTATTTTTACATGCAGTAAGGATAATTTTAAAAAAAATGGCTTTATGCTTTAAACAGTTTTTTCACACTCCATATTGACTGTACACATGGCTTGAGATAAAATAGAATTAGAGTATGGTAGAAATACTACAGGAGCAGCTCATTGACAATCAACAACTTTGAAAGCTTGGATTGTAAAATCACAGAATTTGCCTGGAGAAAGAGGAAAAAATATAATCCAGTATCTAACAAAGTGCTCTTCAGCCTCTAGCCTGGAATTTTGTGTAGTTTCAGCAACGGCCCAAAAGAGTAGCAATTCAGATCAAAGTGAGTCCCACCAGGACTGTTCCAGTTTGAAGTATCTATTCTAAAATGGGGTAATCAATCCCTAGTCTGGAGTTCCTGAAACATCTCTGAGGAGATTGCGGGCAATTTTAGGGTCAACTACAGAATCTCAGTCTAGAGAGATCCCTTGATATTATGAACTCGGGCTGTGGAAAATCCAGTGGCAGTGTTTCCCAAAGTGTGATGGCTACTATAGTGAAAGGTAATACCATTTTCCTGCCCACCCCTCTGTGAATGTGTGACCACGGTGTCCTCTGGGCCCATGTTCTCCAATATGAGGTCATTAAGTATGTATGGCTACTGAATACCTGAAAGTGGCTAATCCAAATAGAGATGTACTGTAAGTGCAAGATATACACCAAATTTTGAAAGCTTAGTATAAAAAAAGAAACATGTAAAATATCTCACTAATAATTTTTATATGTATAAAAGATATTTTGGATAAATTGAGTTAAATAAGATACACACACACACACATACAAACACACAGAGGAATATTACTTAGCCATTAAAAAAATAATGAGATTTTGCCCTTTGTGATAACATGGATGGAGTTAGAGGATATTATGCTAAGTGAAATAAGTCAGGCAGAGAAAGACAAACAAATACCATATGGTTTCACTTATATGTGGAATCTAAAAAACAAAACAAATGAACAAACAAAAAACAGACTCTTAAAGACAGAAAACAGACTGGTGGTTGTCAAAGGGGAGGTCGAGGGGATGGGCAAAATAGAAAAAGGGAATTAAGAGGTACAAACTTCCAGTTATAAAATAAACAAATCACAGAGATGAAAAATATAGCACAGGGAATATAGTCAATAATACCGTAACAATGTCACATGGTAACAGATGGTGTCTACACTTATCATGGTGAGCTCTGAGTGAAATACAGAAATGCCAAATCAATATGTTGTACACCTGAACCTTACATACATTGTGTATTAATTACACTTTAATAAAGAAATAAGATATATTAACGTTAATTTTGCCTATTTCTTTTTACTTTTTTAAAAGTGGCCATTAGAACACTTTCCATTACGTGTGGCCTACATTTGTGGCGCACATTATATTTCTACTCAACAGTGCTGCTCTGGACAGATGGCACCTGAAAAAGCTCCTGTCCATCCCAACACTCCACTCTCACAGAATGCTGGGACTTGTGCGTGGAACCACCAGAGAAGGCTCGGGCTCAGGCAGAATGAAGATCTGTGTGATGGCCAATAGCCGGGGGCTGTGTGGGGAGCTCAGTGCTGGGTGCTGGGGTTGAGTCTGGGGTTGAAAGCAGATGAAAGAGGGAGAAAATAACAGATCTTTGCATTTTGTTTCCTTTAGTAGATTTATCTAAGCGAGCAAATTAAAAAATGTATTAGTACAGTTAGGTCTGTGGATGTGTGTATATGGCAACTGATGTTTGGTTTTTTACATCAAGGTGACTGTTTACTTCAGATTCTTTGAATAAATATTATAATAATAATATTATTTGCTGGTTTTATTGTGAATTCTTAACTTTTCTATTTCATACAGCACAGGGTTCATATTCTCCATCATATCAGGAGATAGTTAGCTTTGGGTCTTTCAAGGAAGGAGAGAAGCCAACCAGGCTGCCCCATACTGTTTCTTCCCTAACATTATCTATACAGCAGTCATAGTCTCACATTGCTTTGCTATTAACACTTAATTAAAGTGCCTACATTTAGGACCTGTGAGAGGAGTCGGTAATATGTTAAGCCATCCTTTTGAATGTTTATATCAGCCCTTGAGGACTCCAGTTGCATTATTATGGAAAGATGTTCAAGAACTTTCCGTTTAAATGGGGTACAAGAATTCTACTGAAGACATTTTTTTTTCTGTTAAAGTTCACAATGCAGAAAATTATGAAGGGCAGAAAAACAGCCTTAGGATGAAGCCAATTTTGAAAACAGAGTTGAGTTCATTGACCATCTTCTTCCACAAAGAGAAATTTATTTATTTGTTTACTCGCTTGGCAATTTGATGAGAGTCCCCCAGCTAGGTGCAAGGTGAAGGTATACAGTAGATGCTAATTTCATGAAATCTTGCAGGCAATTAAGAAGAAACCTCGGTATAATGTTATTTGTTAATTATAACTCAATAAAGAAAAAAAGAAGAGGAAATCTCACAGAGGACAATTTCTAGTATGTACCTGAAAATTTCAAAATGGAGAAATTCAAAATTA